GTTTTCCTGATTTCTCTTTCTATTAGTTCATTGTTAGTGTATAGGAAAGCCACAGATTTCTGTGTGTTAATTTTGTATCCTGCAACTTTGCTGAATTCCGATATTAGTTCTAGTAGTCTTGGAGTGGAGTCTTTAGGGTTTTTTATGTACAACATCATGTCATCTGCAAATAGTGACAGTTTGACTTCTTCTTTACCAATCTGGATTCCTTGTATTTCTTTGTTTTGTCTAATTGCTGTGGCTAGGACCTCCAGTACTATGTTGAATAACAGTGGGGAGAGTGTGTAGGACCATTTTTATTTCTTGCATGGCTGTGGCAAGCTGAGAGGGCATGAAGCAGATTATTCCTTAACAGTGTTTTGATCCTTTCTTCCCTTGAGCCTTCTTGGACACCACCACACAGTCCTATGACAGTTGTTATCAGCAAGTTTTATATTCATAAAATTCGTGTATAATTCCAACTCTTTTAACATTTAACTGAAATAATAAGTCATATTAATAAAAATGAATTACAGATATTTTAGGAAGTGATGAATTTTTTTTCTGTTAAAGGCTGTCTTGTCCAGGAAAAAATGCTCTAATAGAATTTAAGAAGTGGTTATGTGGAAATTGCTGACAATTTACTGTATGAACTAAAATAATATGCTTTGCTTATTAATAAAGGTTAGATATGAATGCCTGGCAGAGGAAATCAAGATAGGAGATTATTACCTGAGGTTACTCTTGGAGGAAGATGAGAATGAAGAAAGTGGTTCAATTAAGAGATCGTAAGCTACTCTTTATATCTTCTCATATTTGTTTTCACTGTTAGTTTCATGGCTAATTCTGTTGTGAACTTTTTTTTTAATATAGGTATGAATTTTTCAATGAGCTCTATCATCGTTTCCTGCTCACCCCAAAAGTAAACATGAAGTGTTTATGTTTACAAGCCCTTGCTATTGTTTATGGGAGATGTCATGAAGAAATAGGAGCTTTTACCGATATAAGATATGTCATTGGAATGTTAGAGAGGGTAAGGATATCATTTAAGGAATTACTATTTGATAGTATAATTGGTGTATGTGTTAAATTTTCAAAACTAAATTTAAATTCTGATTTGATTACATTGTTACTGTAACTTTCTGCATAAGTTTTTATGTAATCTACATTATACTTACTTAAGTATAAGTTAGATGAATAGGAAAATTACTGATGGGTTAGTATTTGTCCATGTCAGTTTATTTTTTTCAGTTGCTGCTTTTGAATGACTTTAGCAACCTATTTGCCAGTCTTTAAGTATGGATGTGCTGGACAGGTGTGTAAAAGAAATAGTGACTTTTAGAGTTACATGTACTTTGGGTTTTCCATTTTGGAAAAATCTTAAATGGTGGGAACATACTAAATTTCAAAGTGTAAAGACAGTGAAAGTTTTTAGAACTGTAACCATAACCAAAGAAACAGAACTTTGTATTAGCAATTTTCTTTTAATTTTAGAAAGTTTATCATTTAACTCTTGATCATTGTTTGGGGAAAGAACAAATTGATCAGTTCATCCATTGTGCAGCTCAAATTTAAGTGTTACCTACTTGTTGCAGTATATACATTTGATTCTTTCATTTGTGTTTCCATTCCTTTTTACTTTTAACAATTGAGAATAATCAGTTAGATTATTCTCTTAGAACTGTTTCACCAATTTTTAAAATAGCCATCAATCCTTGTTTTAATTGCCTTACCTATTAATCATGCTTTTAGATTAGAAAACTGATTCTGAATCAAGTCACAAAACATGCCTAGGAAATAACATAACCTGATGAAAGTCTTTATTGTTTGCTGACACCAGATACACTATTGAATTCTAATTTGTTGTTATTCCTGTGAACCTGAGTGCTAGTGGCATAACATTTGTGTTTTAGGCAGATACATTTTTCCCTATTGTTTGTGTTCATCATACGATTTATGTGAAACATTATTAATCCTTTAGAATTTTTACTTAATTCAAGAGTATCATTTCAGTTTTTGCATGTATTCTTAAAGCTGTAAAAGTAATCTATTTATGACTTTTAATATCTCCCTTTTTAAGAAATTAGACATTGTATAAAATTGTAGAGAATGTAAGACATTATGGAATTGTAATAATTGACAGTCTTCTTTGATTTTCTAAATATATAAAAATAAAAGGTGGCATTATTTCTTGTTTACTTTTGATTTGTCAAGTGATGGTAATAGCTTAATTTATGTTTCTATTCATCACTAAATTCTCTTTTATTTCTATAGTGTACAGATAAACTTGAACGAGATAGGTTGATCCTCTTCCTTAACAAGTTGATCCTTAATAAGGTACAGTATTTTTGCATAACTATGCTATTGTTTCCAAATAAGCTATATGAGTATATAACAAAAGAAAATATGACAGTTTGGGTCAATTATCCAGACATGGTTCTTTTCTTTTAGATCAGAAAGCTCTGTGCTGTTGACTCCTGGAGGGAAACTTTTGCCAAATATTGTATATTCTGTCCTAATATTACAGATACATTAAATTAATGATAATATAATTCTGAATGAAGAATAATGAGGGATGGAATCATTAGCTGATTTTTCTTCAGGGAATCTTTAGGATTAGATTTTAGATAAAATAAATGCTTGACAAAATGGAAAGTTTCTAATTTATCAATGTACATTTTGATGATAAAAAGTAATTTGAAGACATACAACAGTTACTTTTAGCTCTTCATATTTTCTTTAAGACAATAGGTTCATGCTGGTTTCTGACAAGAATTAATAACTAATATAGCATTAATTCAAAATTGGTGTTGCAATGAAGTATGAGCAGGTTTTTAAAAAAATTTTTTTAATACTACTACTTGCTGGGTTTTATTCTTTTAGTAAATGATGCAGATGTTCTAAAATGAAGTATAATTAATAAGTCCTACAAAAATCTAAATTAAAACCTCTAACTTATAAGAAACTGCCAGTTTATAGCTTAAGTTTATAAAAATAAATTGGAACATTAAAAGGTTTTTTTAATATAACACAGTGTACTTCTGATTATAAAATAATCTGTTCATTAACAAAAAGACCTTGGAAAATGCGGTATAACTATAGAATTAGAGAGTTTATTCCTGCTAGGCTTAATTTGTTTATTCACTTTCACTTTGTTTTGCTCAGAATATATTTAAGTAGAAATTCTTAATGTGTTCTCTTTGTAATATCGTTTTGGCCTTTTAACCTTTGTCTAAATTCATGTTCTTGAACACAATGTCCTGAAAATACCAAGTAATCCTAGTTGTGTGTCAATTTTTCCTAAGAGATTCCAAATATTCTCATCTTTGAGAGCCTTTAGGTAGTAGTGCCTATTGGAAACAACAATTTTAGATTATGTAAAAATGTTTTTATCTCCCAGAAAAATGTTAAGGATCTCATGGATTCAAATGGAATTAGAATCCTTGTGGACTTGCTCACCCTTGCACATCTCCATGTAAGCCGAGCTACAGTACCACTGCAAGTATGTATGCTTACTTAGATTTTACAAATTTAAAATTCTTTGATTAAAATTTTAAGATCAAAGAATCATAAAAATCTGAAAATCTGCCAATATAATGTCACTGTGAATCTATTTCTGGAATAATTATTGAAGTATTAATACCTGGGAAATTTAGTTACAAAGAAAAATTGAAATAACCGTAAGAACAGTCCAAAACCGACAGTGATAATCTAATTTTATTTTTCCAATATCTCTTTTGTCTTATAAAGTAACTACATCTCTAATATGGCTTATTTTGAGGCAATATGACCTTTAGGATTTAAACTGAATTACTCAGTTGTGTAACTAGAACTTTAGCATTGACAACCACTGAGAATATACTTTATAGGAATATATACCTTATAGAGGAATCTGGGGCTCTTATTTGAAACTAAACAGTAGGAGAACAGGGCTGTTAAGTCTCTATGGAAAAGCCTCATCTGATACCTAACTTATAGAAGGAATCTATTTTTAGTTCATTGGTGACTTTTTGTGGTGTTACATTTCGTTTTGTTTAATCTCCTTGTGCGAGTTATTGTGTCATTGGATGTTGGCTGAACTGTGAACAAACTGCTATTTGAATATTTAGAAATGGCATTTTCTATTATCAGGTATGAATAATAGTCATAATGCTTGTATAGCATTACAGCGTACCAGTTACTGTTTGGGTAAACATAATATATTATCTCTTTAAATCCCCTAATTTTACAGAGATTAATGGGCCCTCCCATTTTACAGCTGAGAAAATTGAGGAACAAAGAGCATATTGCCCAAGGTCACCTTGACAGCTAGAGTCAAACCCAGAAGTCTTTGCTCTTAATCATTCTGCTGTACCTCTCTTACATGAATCTAACTGAAAGCTTGTAGTTATGAGAGTATTTAAGAACCATGTTAATAAAATACTCTGTAAAAATTCAATCCTAGATTCTCATACATGTTGATGTATGAAATTATAAGAATTATCTGTAGTGAGGGTAGTAGATTTAAAGTAAGTGTTTAAAATCACTAAAAACTTTCCTGTCCTGTAATCATTTAACTTTTGGATCTCAGCTACTTATTCAGAGTTTTGTTGGAGCAAGTTGTTTTCCCTCAGAAGAATTTTAGTGTTTTGAATATTGGTGTTTAAGGTTAATGGTATATGCTGTTTACATATCTATTTGCACTATTTTTTGCTACTAAAATATTAGTAGTGTCTTGAGAATTTATCAGTGATCATTGGGAATGTGGGTATCTTTGAATTTCACTTAGATTGCCAAGGGATTTTAGGAATCCATTTATTTCCAATGAATATTAAAAAGGAAGTAGCTGTTTTGGACTACCAGGTTAGGCATCTATTCCATCATGCTTAAAATGAGATCACTTAAAATTTTAGGTGAGTTTCTAAAGGAATATAAACCCAAGAAAATGGTATGGTGTAACTTTTTATGGCATATACCCCCTTAGATTTCTGCCTTGAAAAACAACTAAATCTTTTTAAAACTTAGAGCAATGTAATCGAAGCTGCTCCAGACATGAAAAGAGAGAGTGAAAAGGAGTGGTACTTTGGCAATGCAGACAAAGAAAGGAGTGGCCCATATGGATTTCACGAGGTATGACTCTTGGAGGAACTTTCTGTGAAGGTCTTATCCTTATGCCCTCCTGCTTAGCACACACAGAGATGTGGAATAATTTAAAACTGTGACTTGAATTACTGTCATCACCTGCCAAGGCTCTGCCATTCCATTTTCCTATGAAGGATTAGATGGCTTGCATGTTAGGGAACCATACACATGCGTGTGCACCCACCCACACATGCACCCACACATACACACAGTCGTGTCTTCAAACCTTTTTGTTTAAAAGTTGTTACAGAGGTGGCAGTTAACATTTTAAATTAATTTTATAAAATAACAATTGCTACCTTAACAATTATGTCAAAGTAGAATGCTTCTGTGTGGGATGAACAAGTAAGTTTTAATATGCAGTCTGAAATTCATTGAAAATTCTGAAATATATGGTCCAAAGAGTTTCTGTTTTAATAGTGCTGAAATTTGATCCTGCCCTCCCATTCTCAGCCTCCCAGGCTCAGTTGGAATTTAGCCAAAAATAGTTCTATAGAAGACCAGGCCTTCTGCTTATATATCATTTGTTCATTTTACATTCTACCTACATTTATTATTATTTCTGGTGTTCCTTATGCTCTATAGGTTGGTCAACTAAATGATTATTTTCTTAATTAGTAGCCAAATTTGGGTTCCTGAAGGTCTGTCAACAAAAGCCTATCATTTTGTCAATAGTGAACTCCTCTTACGTTCATTTTATAGCTTAGTGTATTTACTGTGAAAGAGAGAAAATACTAGTTAAACTTCTCATTTTGCTTTATCTATGTGTTTTTTATAATGATGCCTTCCATTCATTTAGATGCAAGAATTGTGGACCAAAGGAATGTTAAATGCAAAAACCAGGTGCTGGGCTCAAGGCATGGATGGATGGCGACCACTCCAGGCAATACCCCAGCTTAAATGGTGTCTGTTAGCCAGTGGACAGGCTGTACTAAATGAAACTGACCTTGCTACCCTTATATTGAACATGTTGATCACAATGTGTGGATATTTCCCAAGCAGGTAAAATGTAATTGAACATTTCCATGGTTAACAGGGACTAAAACATTGTCATCTTCTCATCTGTATGGGTGCTTCCTTAGTAATGGTATGGGGACTTCTGTGGTGATTAGAGCAAAGTTGTTTCATTTGTGGCCTTGGAGAAATAATGCTTTAAACGTTGGAGCTTTTTGAAACAGACGTAAGGAAATAATTTGCAAATCATGATAAAGTAGCTAAAAAGCAGCTTTTTCTGGGAGACTTCAAACATTAAAAAATTGAGGCTTGCTAAGTACACTCTAGTAACAGTATCAGTTGGTCACAATCATGTGAATCAGATATGAACATTTTGACAAACAGACTGCAGTACCAGACAGTTGTGCCAACCCCTGATCTATCAGCTTGGCCACTCCTGGTATTGAATGTGAATCTAGGTTCACAACTTGCCTTCTTGACTAGTGAAAGTAAGAATTTGTTACCACTGACAATTGTAATTATAACCCTTGTATGGAACTTCCGATCTTTATAAAATATTTGCATATATGTAATTTTGTTGTATTACTATGCTAAAGATATTCTGTGGTGGAAATTATTGAGAAATTGTCAATTTATGTAACACTTGAGGCTTTTGTGGTTCCATTTCTGTTTAAAATTCAGATCAGACCTAAAACCATACAATTAATATTTAGAAGTAATGTAGCATTAAAATTAAGGCTCCCCTTGGAAAATACGGAGAGTAGTTACAGTGAAGTTGAAGTTACAGGACAAAGATTGATTTGCCCTCTGGGGGGAAGTATCCACTGACAGTGTGTTGGACAACACCAAGTTTAATCAATTAAACAAGAGTCTTTGGCTCTTCTAGGGTACTGTTTTTCAAGGAAATCTTATGGAAGGAAATGAAGTCAAATTAAGCAGCCAAGTAGATTTAAACCAAAATACCTAATCATGTTCCCAGCTGTATGAGAGCTTAGTCTTCATTAACAAAAAAGTAAGGTAAACATGCTTCATGCCTAGTAGAATGTCATATGCTCTGAACTTAATAAGTATATTAAATGTTGACCTTAGAAAATATTTTCTAGGGACCAAGATAATGCCATCATTCGGCCTTTACCCAGAGTGAAAAGACTGCTGTCAGACAGCGCTTGCCTTCCTCATGTTATCCAGGTGAGTTACTTTCACGTTGCCAAATTAGGAACAATATTTTAAGAATCATTTTCCCTTAATTTTATTATAAGTCCCTTAATTTTATTATAAAATATTATAATTTTATTATAATTTTATTATAAGTATATATATATATATATATATATATATATATACATTTCTTTTGTTGGAGTCTAAAATATTTCAACAAGCCTGAATTTTGAATTACATTTATTCACATGCTCCTAATTACTTTGATTTTCTGAATATACTGTGGAGGATTATGTATCCAAGAGCCTAAACATGGGAAGCCTCCAGACACCAGAATTATTGTCAAAAGGTTTTATTTATTGTCCATTCTTGAAATCACACCACTGTAGTAACTAAATGTAGTTGTGGTACAGATTGATGTTAGAACTGCTGGGAAGCACACCAGTAGGCCACAGGTGTGGACATAATAATCCTAAGAAATAATCCTAGTAGTCTTGCCAGCCTTGCCTCAGCATTTGACTCTTTTCAGTTACATGTTTTCCTGGATAGCAACTGATCCAAAGTATTGAATGGGAACTGCGTGGGATATACAAAAGTATCTTTTTTTCCCCTCATCATTCTGCTCCTTTAGGTACTAAACTACTAAACTTACGATTAGCATAAACCCCAAATACATCAGGTCCCATAGATTTCAGGTCAGTGTTTACCATCTGTCTATTGATTATGCTGTTGCCAAATTATTTTTCTATAGTAACCACATATGGCATGACTTTAAAATATATGCCAATTACTTGTGCCATTTGTACTTGTCTGTTGTGCATTGGTGTGAAGAGAGGAGAATTACTCAGTTTGTGTATTTATGTTCATAGATACATAAGTGCCTGTGTAAGTCACTGCTAATGAAAGACTTCTGAATATAACAATGACAGTTCCCTGTCAAGTTTTCCTTTGCTTCGTGCCAACCTCATTGTTTAAGCATATCAGCATTTAAAGTTTATATGGTTTTCTGTTGTGGACCTTTCTGTTCAGATGCTTAAATGAAAAAGCACAGCTTGTGTTTGTTGAGGGCTTTGTGGCTGCCTGTGTGAGGTGGGGTACGAGGAGAGAGGTTTGTTTTCTATTCTGGACCCTCTCTACATGTGGATAAAAGACTGCCTAGAAAATCTCTCTCTCCCAAACATTTTTCCAGGATTTAGGAAACTGAAACAAGAAATGTAAATGCAAATGCTGTTGAATTTCAGACCAGCAAAGCATGACTGAAAAGCTTTTGAGACGTGATCAGTGTAACATAAAATCTTTGTGGGAGAAATATACTTTTTTGATTTACCAAAAATTTTTAGTATTATCTTAGTGATTAAAATGCTTAAAGAGAAGAATTTTATTGATAAATCTAGGTGTTTTTAACAGTATATGCCTCCTGAATTTTTTTACTGAGTTCAAAAACTTTCTTAGGAGTTATTACTGTTTCTCCTTAATTTTACTTATTTTTCTATATCCTGGGAGACCTTAATCTTGCCAAGCACAGGTAGGCAACTGTAGAAGTTTTCAGGAACATCTTATCTACATTGGTTAGAACAGATTTCTGTACTTCATTTGACTTTTAGAGCAAACATTAGTTTTACCATTTGATAGAGCTTCAGAATTTTTAGAGAGTTCTAAGATACAGTGAGTGAATGTCCTAGGTTTTCTGGTATAGTCATAATTGCAGATATTCTGGGTTTTTGCCTGCTAATTCCCATATTTCTGCTAAAGTGATGTCAAGTCTTAAACTACAACTGCCATTAACACTAGGAAATATTTGGTGTTGCTGTATCTCAGTTTTTCCTTCATAAAATATGTCATAATACTACACACTTAATCTAAATACTTCTTTAAACAGATAAGACAACAAAACAGAGAGAAATTTAAAGTATTTACTTAAAGACATGTGGCTATTCAGTCTTACATCTATCTGAGTCTAGAACTGTGACTTCCTAATCTGAGCTAGCATTGACTGACTCTTGTTATTGTGATTACATTTTTACTGGTAGCATTTGACCCAAAACGGGCTTCTTTGGAAGTGTTTATTGAAAATTGAAATGCCACTTTTATTAAGAAAAAGATTAACTAAATTTCTTTACCAAGTGTTCGTTCATAGCATCTATAGATTTTTGTTAGCCCAGATTCATTACAGTGGTTCCTGAGTTTCCCTTTAGGGAAAAATTTTAGCTCACATCTTTTGGTACTTTCTAATAGAACTACTAACTAACTGTTACCTCTTACCTTCTGCCTGCAATTTTAGTGCTGTTTCACTGATAACTGTTGTCTGCTTTGCTGCTTTGGTTCTCATGTAGTCTTCAGGGAATGTGTCCCATCAGCTCAACCAAAACTAACCTGCACAAGAAACAATTTTACCTATGTTCATGACAAAACTTCAGGCACTTTTGAACCTTTTCTGAATAAGTTTTGATCAGTTCTCAGTATTTTACCTTTTTTGAATTAAATGTTACAAAATGAATCACTTTTCAGATCTTTTGAATTTGCTAGGCAGGATTACTGAATCAGATTTTTTATTTTGTGATTTACTCTGAATATAAGAAACTATAATCTCAGCACATGAACATGTAAGCCTAAAATAAATGGCAATATTAGTTTTTCTACAACCAAGTAACAAACATTTTATTTCTTCTTTTAGCTACTGCTTACCTTTGACCCTATTCTTGTTGAGAAGGTTGCGATTTTGTTAAACCATATCATGCAAGATAATCCACAGTTACCTCGTCTTTATCTTAGTGGAGTATTTTTCTTTATCATGATGTATACAGGTTCCAATGTGCTTCCTGTTGCTCGGTAAGAACTTTATTGGTAACCTATTTAAAATTATTGCTTGAACTGTACATGGGCAGATTTTTTTAAATTGACTTTTTGTGTGTGTCTGAGTATGTCATTGCTTTTATTAAATTTTCCATTGTAAAAACTGTTAACTATGTGTCTCAAAATTTGGAAATTAGATTAATAGGGAAAAACAGTTGCTCAGATTTACTCTACCACATCTAACTTAAGAATTTTGTCATTATCTAATATATTAATATATGTATTTAATGTAACTATATTCATATTGATCAGGCATTTTACATTTTGCTTCTTAAAATTGGGTCATTTTTCATAACCTAAGTATGACCATACTTTAAAAATCTTTCTAATTCATTTATGTTCTTGCCTTAATTAGAAATTAACCAATTTGGGAATATGGATTTACAAATTGCCTTTTATTATAAATAAAAAAATTTGACCTTTAGAAAACTTAGATTACTAAATCCCAATCAGTTCCTATATCTAAAAGGTAACTTATTTTTTTTTCTAGATTTTTGAAGTATACACATACTAAACAAGCTTTCAAATCAGAGGAGGTAAGCAGGTTAATCATCTGAGTGCATAACTTAACACTGGGTAAGCTGTCTCGGCACTAAGGTTAACTGAACTATGTATGTTTGCTAGATTATAAGCACTGAGGGTAAATACTGTTTTATCCATTTTTTAACTTTCCTTTAGGTACCTGTATATAGAAAGTCTAAGCTAATATATATTTTTTTATGAAAATAAATGTTACCCATGGAATTAATATTGAAATTGTAGATTTGAATTATAACTGATATCGTTGTTTATATAACTTGTTCCCTTTGTGTAAAATGTAGATTAGTAATTTTCATAAATGATTGATTATAAACCTAAATCTCAAACAGTTAAAATTCAGTAAGACAGTCTTCTTTTTGCTCAGATCCCAGGGTGGCAGAAGTCCTAGTTTCTTTTTTGAAGCTACTTAAATTTTCAGATACCCTCCAGTGTTCTTGCAGTTCTACTGAGGAAGAAAAGTAGGAATCCAAAAAAAAATGAGGCTTATCCAGGTAGCTTTAAAAACTTGAAACTTTATACCTGCATTGTACAGAGAGGTTTATTACCAAAATGTAATTGAAGGATGTTTCAAATTTTATTAGGGTTTTCATAGACCATTGATATTCAGATTTTATGGAGAGCAGAAAAGTAAACCCAGACCAGGCCACTGTTCAGGACACTAACCAAGGAATGTTATATACCACTTTCACAGTGGGCGCCAGACCCAACCTGCATTTTTTATGGGGCTGGCAGTAAAGCCCTGGAAAATAATCTGTCTAATATTAAAGTGATGCCATGGCAGTATAATTTCCACAGCTTTATACAAGTAGAAAGAGTATTAAAAAATTTTTTTCTAATGCTGTCATCTTAATGTAGCATTAGGCATTTCTGGCATTTCTCTTTTTTCACTGTGTAGTTACACATATGTAGTCTTACTTTCAGATTTCATAATATGAGAAACTGTTCACATCATTTTACTTAATACTGAGTAATTACAGCAAAATCATGTTTGTTGATAGCAGAACTGTGGATATAGAAATTACCAAATAGAAGTATTCTATAGTATTCTAAAGAATAGGATGAGCAATTCTTAACCCAAACGTTTATGGATTTTATTAACAAAAACTCTGAAAATATTCACTGTGTCATTTGTCTTTGCACTAAGTGGGTTTGGGTTTCCCCCCACCAGATTCTAGAGAAATAAAACATTCTTAAGTAGCCTACAAGGAAATAGAAAAATCTTTATAGTCTTTAGGATTTTGTTTCCATCAAGTAAAGAAATGAGTTTAAAAATTTTGTATGATAAAGTATGTTCATTACCGATTCCATTTGGCCAGCCAGAGCCTATAAAGTGCTTAATACAGTTAATTACTTTGAATACTAATGTTCCGTCTAAATCCTAGCCATACATTTAGGAGGACAAATCTCTTTAAGATCTTGATTTTCAGGACTTGTTTAAAAAAAAAAAAAAAGCAGGTGCACGTAGGAACTGCAGCCAACACTGTAACACAGAAAAATTGCTGTAAATCTTTGCAGAATTTTCCTTGTGTTGTTCAATACTGTTGCACGTGGTCCAAGGCTGGTAGACCTAAGTAGTATTGGCAGTACCTGACAGCTGAGGAGGTTAATTCTGCTGCAGGCCTTGAAGGTTCCTCTTGCAGCTCGTGCCAAGCCAGTTTATACCACAGACCTTCCACTTCACAGTTTGCTCTATTTCATCTAAATTTCCAAAGCATAAAAGTAATTTGTTCTTAAATATTTTATTTTTTAAAATATTCTCTAACCCCAATTCATGTGTTAGAAAACTAAAAGATAAGTTTAGTGTTTCTGTGTTTTATTTTGTTTTAAAGACAAAAGGACAAGATGTTTTTCAGAGAAGTATACTTGGGCACATTCTACCAGAAGCAATGGTTTGTTACTTAGAAAATTATGAACCTGAAAAATTTTCTGAGATTTTTCTGGGAGAATTTGATACTCCAGAAGCAATCTGGAGCAGCGAAATGAGGTAAATAGCCAGTCGATTGTATTTTATACTCGGAAACTTTGCTTGTTGTCTGGTTTGACTTCTGTTAAAATAAACGGCTTTCCCTAGTTGTATAATCTAAAGTAGTCATTGGTGCCATCTCAAGTGATAGATTTTGACAAGGCTGCAAGCTGATTGTATTCTGACATGATTTAACAAATAGAGTTTTATATAAGGGAGGGCAGGGATCCTATTACCACCGGTGCTTCTTCAATCTGTCTATAGAACTGTTAAAATTTTAGGCAATGAACTAATATGTATGTAAGGAATACATAGGGCTAAAAATCGAGACACACTTCCTAGGTATTTGGAAATGGAACTGACTCCACTAATTAAAAACTGCTCACATAGATACCCACTGTCATTGGAGAATGAGGGCTCCCTAGCCAGCACATTTTGACCTTAATCTGGAGGTTAGCTTTCCTAAAAGATACCCTTATTAGGAGGGGAGTGCCATAGGAAAAGCTTGTGAAAAACCAAGGAAAAGGAGAGGCCCACCAGCAGATGTCGGTGTCCGAACAGGCCCTGTCCAAGCAGGACACGGCACTTATAGCTGCCTTGTCAGGGCCGCTGCCCCTTTGTGGAGAGCCCCTCGGTCCTCCCAGCCGGATGGCAGTCGGCCTTCCCAGGTAGCTGCTCTCCTTTCCCGGACTTCACACTCTCAGTGCCACCTGCTGGTTGTTCTCTATGTAATATTTTTCTCTTGAGATTGGTTAATATAAGTCCTCCATTTAAAAATGTAATTTTTTATATATTTAACAAATCAAGTTTCTGCTCAGTCGAGGCCAGAGCCAGATTGTTAATTAAAATAAATGCCACGTAGTGAGCTTTTTTGGGGTAATAGCATACTTGAGTTCCCCAACTATGCGCTCATACATGTAGATTCTGTGATGTTTGACCTTTTAATGACTGTTTTTTCAGTAGGAATGACTGGGAATATCAGTCTTTCTCTACGATCACTTTATAGATAAGTATTGAATATTTTCACACAGTAAATTTAGAATGCCCTGAATCACACATTCTTACAAGCACTCATTTTAGGCCAGTAATTGAGTTACTGCAAAGAAGACCCATGTAATTGTTTTACATGATTACTTAACCATTTTTTGCATGTAATTATTTGCATGATTACTTAACCGTCTTTTTTAAACTAGAATAATCCCTTCCTAATGTTTGGAGGTTTTTATAATTGTAGGCGCCTCATGATAGAGAAGATTGCTGCTCATCTTGCTGACTTCACACCTCGTCTTCAGAGTAACACCAGAGCACTTTATCAGTATTGTCCCATCCCAGTAATCAATTATCCACAACTAGAAAATGAACTCTTTTGTAATATTTATTACCTCAAACAACTTTGTGATACACTCCGGTTTCCAGATTGGCCAATTAAAGACCCAGTAAGTTAACAGATTAATTTGTGCCTTCTTAAACCATAAAAATAGCTGCTAATCTCTTCCAGGTATTTCCTTCTTCTGTAATAAGAAGAATAATAGCTTCCTTAGGTGTATTCCCTCTTACTTAAGGACCACATAACTCTGAATACAGTTCAGTGTGTTTGGGTAAGCCCCAAATTGAGAGGTAATTTTTTGAGGGAGTTACAAAGAATTTAACAATATTTTTGTGACAAAAATGTAACAAACTTAATTTCGTGTATGTAACAGAATTATATGTTATAATAGCTTGGTGGAAGCTTGTCTTTATAGCAGATTGTTTAAGCTCACAGATATTGGAATTTGGGAATCTGGGATTGAGTCTCACTGTGGCCATTAACAGTTCTATATAACATTTGGTATATTGTTGGATTTCTCAGCCTCTGGTTATAGGAATGGTATTAATACTACTACAGTAGCAGTTATTTCATCTGGTGGGTGGGAAGATTAGGTGAGAATTCACATTAAGAAACAGCATAATTCCTGGCATGCACGGGAGCCAGTAAGTGTGATCTGCTCATTTGTACAGTAGTATCTGTTGTCTGCCTGTGCACAGTGGCACTGGGACCCCTCCACCTTGAGCCCTGGGATTGCTATTGGATGCTTGGAATAAAGCAGGCCTGCATGCCCATGTTGACCTCTTACTGTAGCAGAGATTATACCATTATCCTTACCACTTCAATATTTCAGAACAGTTGCCATTTGTACCCCCTCTTCACAGTGCTGTGACCAAATGAAAGCGGGTAGTCTCTGCTGATTGTTCTGGATTCAGCATGAGATAGGGTATGGGCTTTTTACTCAGACCCATCACCTACAACTGGGAAACATGCAGTTCTCTGTCAGAATCTCACTGTTTTCATGTATTACTGAAATTTTTTGCAAGAATTAAATCTGCTAGTCTATAAAACACCTAGCTCCTTGGCACATAGGCTTGCAGACTCCCTAGTTTTTCACTACCCCTTACATTTGTTTGAATGCCAGGATGCCACTATGTTAGAGCACCTTGAGAACCATGCTACCATGTACTGCTTGCTTTCTTACAACAGTGTATCATCTGATTTCAGAGTTTTCTGTACTTTATGAACATTCCTTTAAAAATTAAGAGTAGAGACAAAATTTGGCAGAGAATAAAAATTTTCCCTAAAAAGTAGAGGTAGATAGCCCTGTAACAAATATCTAGCTGCCTAACTTCAGTATTGCTAAAAAGGTGATTTTGGTTATTTGTATTTCAGAAAGCTGTTAGTTGGATAGGCTAGAAATGTTGGTTTAAAAAAATACAGCACAAAAATTCTATAACTCAAAAATCATATTTTGAAGTAGCTTTACTTTAATAGATTTAAATTTTAATATCTGTCATTAAGGTTAAGCTTCTAAAAGATACTCTTGATGCCTGGAAGAAGGAGGTGGAAAAGAAGCCACCTACGATGTCAATAGATGATGCTTATGAAGTGCTTAATCTCCCTCAAGGACAGGGGCTGTGAGTTCTTTTCAGTATTTCAATAGTAAATGTCTGCCTTGTCTTAAAATATTAATATCAAAGACTAAATTAACATACCAACCATTTAACCATTTTTTGCCTATTATTCATTATATACACCTGTGAAAATATCCAGGTGGAACTATATCCATGTGATTTTTATTTATTGTAAATTCATTAGCAGAATTGTGTTCTCCTGTACCAGCAGTTTTCCTTGATGGCACATTCTTTCCTCTCTATTAATTGAACTAATGTGTGCAGAGTTCCTGGCACTGTATCTGACACACGGTGGTCCCCCACATACTCATCTTCCCCGTTCCTTTTGCAGTTTGTATTACGCATGAGGAAGAGGCTTGACAGCATTAAGTCTGTGATACTAAATGATAGATGTGTAGGAAAGAATGCAGATTATTTAATTAGTAAAATTTTATAGTAGATAGTTTTAAAAGATGTTGTAAGTATAGACTGAATTTGTGCCTTTTTTGTTAAGGCTGATGGTTGAAATAACTTAAGAGTTGTGCAGTTTTAAGTAACAGTTTGAAAAATTAGTTTTAAAAAATTACCTGTTTTATCAAACCCAAAATAGAGTTTTGTGATTTAAAGTGAATGATAACCTTGCATAAGGAATGTTTAGGTTTTATCTTTCATTTTTAAGGTAACATATACGAATAATCTTACTGGGTTTAATTTGATGCCTAATATATGATTGATTATATACAATGAATCTAAGGTTCTTAAAATATGATTTTAGATGATTATATAAATATTTTTTCTTGCCTTTACTGTGTATATAAAACAATTTTCCTATTTAATAGACATGATGAGAGCAAGATTAGAAAAGCTTACTTCAGACTTGCACAAAAATACCACCCTGATAAGAATCCAGAAGGGAGGGTAAGTGCTACTTTTGGAATTAAGGCTTTTAGGTTGACTTCCTTTTGTGCTATTCCTAGATCAGGCTGAGGAGATGTACTCACCCTCGGTGCCAGTGTTTACCTCATATGTGCCCTGTGTATGTTGAATTAACTTCTAGCCCACATGCCCATGTTTTCTACATGAGTTGCTCTCCCTCAGTTTACCAAAGGACTGCTCTTGTGACTAGTAACTTAGGGAATTTATTCTTTCTCCTTATCTGTGTCTGTTTGAGAATTAACTCTAATGGACAATCATGAATAATTGAAAAATGGGAATGTGGGTGAACTTAATTAATTTGTAGGTGATGCCATTGCTGTCCAAATTGCCTTGAATCATTTACTGGTTTCTGTCTGGTGACATCCAACTTTCTCTCACTCTAACTTAAAAAGTAGAAAATTTGGATCAGACTTAAAATCATCTGCTACTGCATTGCCTGATCCTGCCTCTTCTAGCTTCCTACTAAAATATCAGTGATTATTCATAAATGGAAATCACACAAGAACCACTCAAACTAGGACCAATAGTCTATTGCTAGAAACTTGGAGCAATTTCTACTTATTTCAAGGTCATTTTTAAAAATCAAAGTATCATTGATATACAGTCTTCTGAAGGTTTCACATGAACAACATTGTGGTTTCAACATTCACCGATATTATCGAGTCCTCACCCCCTATCATTGTAGTCACTGTGCATCAGTGTAGTAAGATGCTATGGAGTCATTAGTTGTCTTCTCCATGCTTTACACCTTCCACATGACCTACCTATATTGTGATTGCTAATTACAGTGCCCCTTAATCCCTTTCTCCCTCCCTCCTTACACACCCTCACAAACCTCTCCCCTTTGGTAACTTCTGGTCCCTTCATGGAGTCTCAGTCTGCTGCTTTTTTGTTCCTTCAGTTTAGTGTTGTTGTTATACTCCGCAAGTGAGTGAAATCATTTTGTACTTGTCTTTCTCTGCCTGGTTTATTTCACTGAGCATAATACCCTCTAGCTCCATCCATGTTGCTGCAAGTGGTAGGATTTGTTTTCTTCTTATGGCTGAATAATAATTCCATTGTGTGTATATGTATCACATCTTTATCTGTCGATGGACATTTAGGTTGCTTCCATCTCATGGCTATTGTAAATAGTGCTGTGATAAACATAGGGGTGCATATGTCTTTTTGAATTGGGTATCCTATTTTCTTTGGGTAAATTCATAGGAGTGGAATTACTGGGACAAGGGTCAGTGTTTTTTATTGGAGACATTACTCCTGAGTGGGAAGACTTGGTATTGAAAAGATGTCCCTTTATATATTCAAGATATTTTTAATCAGAAGCCTGGGATATTTTTGAAAACGGTATAGCAATTGACGTTGATCTGGGAGAAAAAACAGTAAGATAGGAAAAAATTTTGAAATCAGTATTAAATTGCTAGACCTAACCTACCAGGTATTAGAGTAGTCTATAAAATTATAATAGTTAAACAATATGCTGACACAAGACTCAACATATAGATCAAGGAGCATAATACAGTGTAGTTGTTTAAAGAGCATGTATTTAGGAGTTAGACTTAGATATAAGTCTTAGCTCTGCCATTAGCTGACTTTGTGATATTAGGCAGTTTGCTTAACATCTTCTAAAAAATGAGGCTATAATGGTACACACCTTATCTGGCTGTTTTGAGGGTTAAACAAAATAGTGTATGTAAAGCATTTAGCCCAGTGCGTGCTACAGTATTAGTAGACAGTGGCTCTTATAGTTATTTTTATAATAACTCAGAAACTGTCTCTAATGTGTATTTAATATATAGTAGAGATCAGTGAAGCAGAATTTTTCAGTAAATGGTATATTGAGCTCATTTAATAACTTTTTGGGGTAAAAAGTTTCACCTTAAAACTATACCAGTTAGATTACAGTTGTAACAACAAATAAAATAATAACTAAAGGAGTTATTGGTAAAATACAAACTAGCTGTGTTCTGTTATGTTGTAATTTGAGATATTCTAAACTAAAAGTTAATTATCTTTGGTTATATATAGGATATGTTTGAAAAAGTTAATAAAGCATATGAATTTTTATGTACCAAATCAGCAAAAATAGTGGATGGGCCAGATCCAGAGAATATAATTTTAATTCTGAAAACACAGAGTATCCTCTTCAACCGTCATAAAGAAGGTAAGGCTTGTGTTATTCTCAAATTTTAATTTATCTTCCAGCTAAATCTACCATGTTACTTGTTTCTGTAGCATATGTTAATAGATTTAGAGTTATTATTGCAAAAGACTCTTGGAACCACATTTTAGATACAGCAAAAGAGATGTCCCAAATGTTTTTATACCTTCTACTTCTTCCCTATGTTTTCCAAGTATTTTGCATTTCCAACAAGACTTCATTATTCCTTCCTGAAGGACATTTCTGTTTTGTGGAGATAGTTGGTTAGTTTTTGTATTTAGCTATTTTCAGCAAACATGAGATCTAATAAAGTAGATCTGGAATTTAAAGATATTTAATGTTCATAAATCACATACAAAAGACTATGCCTGTCACAACCCCAAAAGCCTCTATAAGGTTGGAATGCTAGAGTTCTGATGTTTAAAAAGCAGTAGAAACTTTTCAAATGATCATACAGTTGACCCTTGAACAACACATGGTTGATCTGTATGGAGTCACTTAGATGTAGACTTTTTTCAATAATAAACATGTTGGAAAATGTTTTGAAGGTTTGAGCTAGTTTGAGAAAACATTTTTTCTCTAGCTTAGTATATTGTAGAATTCTGTGTGTGATACATATACCATACAAAAGATGTGTTGCCCAGCTATTATTGATGAGGCTTTGGTCAACAGTAGGCTGTCATTAATGAAGTTTTAGAGGAGTCAAAAGCTATACTTGGATTTTTAACTGCATGGGGGTCAGTGCCCTAACCCCCACTTTGTTGAAGGGTCAGCTCTACTTCTGGTCACACCTCTCTTTTCCTGTGATAGCTCTCAAAATGCTCTGTTCCTCTCGAACCGGTTTAGAAAACACGGTTACAGATGAAACAGGTGTAATTTCAGCATACAAGTTATGGGAACTTTCAGCATATTTACAGGGCTGTTTGTGGTAGCCCTACAAAAGGACAAGATGTTTTTCAGAGAAGTATACTTGGGCACATTCTACCAGAAGCAATGGTTTGTTACTTAGAAAATTATGAACCTGAAAAATTTTCTGAGATTTTTCTGGGAGAATTTGATACTCCAGAAGCAATCTGGAGCAGCGAAATGAGGTAAATAGCCAGTCGATTGTATTTTATACTCGGAAACTTTGCTTGTTGTCTGGTTTGACTTCTGTTAAAATAAACGGCTTTCCCTAGTTGTATAATCTAAAGTAGTCATTGGTGCCATCTCAAGTGATAGATTTTGACAAGGCTGCAAGCTGTTTGTATTCTGACATGATTTAACAAATAGAGTTTTATATAAGGGAGGGCAGGGATCCTATTACCACCGGTGCTTCTTCAATCTGTCTATAGAACTGTTAAAATTTTAGGCAATGAACTAATATGTATGTAAGGAATACATAGGGCTAAAAATCGAGACACACTTCCTAGGTATTTGGAAATGGAACTGACTCCACTAATTAAAAACTGCTCACATAGATACCCACTGTCATTGGAGAATGAGGGCTCCCTAGCCAGCACATTTTGACCTTAATCTGGAGGTTAGCTTTCCTAAAAGATACCCTTATTAGGAGGGGAGTGCCATAGGAAAAGCTTGTGAAAAACCAAGGAAAAGGAGAGGCCCACCAGCAGATGTCGGTGTCCGAACAGGCCCTGTCCAAGCAGGACACGGCACTTATAGCTGCCTTGTCAGGGCCGCTGCCCCTTTGTGGAGAGCCCCTCGGTCCTCCCAGCCGGATGGCAGTCGGCCTTCCCAGGTAGCTGCTCTCCTTTCCCGGACTTCACACTCTCAGTGCCACCTGCTGGTTGTTCTCTATGTAATATTTTTCTCTTGAGATTGGTTAATATAAGTCCTCCATTTAAAAATGTAATTTTTTATATATTTAACAAATCAAGTTTCTGCTCAGTCGAGGCCAGAGCCAGATTGTTAATTAAAATAAATGCCACGTAGTGAGCTTTTTTGGGGTAATAGCATACTTGAGTTCCCCAACTATGCGCTCATACATGTAGATTCTGTGATGTTTGACCTTTTAATGACTGTTTTTTCAGTAGGAATGACTGGGAATATCAGTCTTTCTCTACGATCACTTTATAGATAAGTATTGAATATTTTCACACAGTAAATTTAGAATGCCCTGAATCACACATTCTTACAAGCACTCATTTTAGGCCAGTAATTGAGTTACTGCAAAGAAGACCCATGTAATTGTTTTACATGATTACTTAACCATTTTTTGCATGTAATTATTTGCATGATTACTTAACCGTCTTTTTTAAACTAGAATAATCCCTTCCTAATGTTTGGAGGTTTTTATAATTGTAGGCGCCTCATGATAGAGAAGATTGCTGCTCATCTTGCTGACTTCACACCTCGTCTTCAGAGTAACACCAGAGCACTTTATCAGTATTGTCCCATCCCAGTAATCAATTATCCACAACTAGAAAATGAACTCTTTTGTAATATTTATTACCTCAAACAACTTTGTGATACACTCCGGTTTCCAGATTGGCCAATTAAAGACCCAGTAAGTTAACAGATTAATTTGTGCCTTCTTAAACCATAAAAATAGCTGCTAATCTCTTCCAGGTATTTCCTTCTTCTGTAATAAGAAGAATAATAGCTTCCTTAGGTGTATTCCCTCTTACTTAAGGACCACATAACTCTGAATACAGTTCAGTGTGTTTGGGTAAGCCCCAAATTGAGAGGTAATTTTTTGAGGGAGTTACAAAGAATTTAACAATATTTTTGTGACAAAAATGTAACAAACTTAATTTCGTGTATGTAACAGAATTATATGTTATAATAGCTTGGTGGAAGCTTGTCTTTATAGCAGATTGTTTAAGCTCACAGATATTGGAATTTGGGAATCTGGGATTGAGTCTCACTGTGGCCATTAACAGTTCTATATAACATTTGGTATATTGTTGGATTTCTCAGCCTCTGGTTATAGGAATGGTATTAATACTACTACAGTAGCAGTTATTTCATCTGGTGGGTGGGAAGATTAGGTGAGAATTCACATTAAGAAACAGCATAATTCCTGGCATGCACGGGAGCCAGTAAGTGTGATCTGCTCATTTGTACAGTAGTATCTGTTGTCTGCCTGTGCACAGTGGCACTGGGACCCCTCCACCTTGAGCCCTGGGATTGCTATTGGATGCTTGGAATAAAGCAGGCCTGCATGCCCATGTTGACCTCTTACTGTAGCAGAGATTATACCATTATCCTTACCACTTCAATATTTCAGAACAGTTGCCATTTGTACCCCCTCTTCACAGTGCTGTGACCAAATGAAAGCGGGTAGTCTCTGCTGATTGTTCTGGATTCAGCATGAGATAGGGTATGGGCTTTTTACTCAGACCCATCACCTACAACTGGGAAACATGCAGTTCTCTGTCAGAATCTCACTGTTTTCATGTATTACTGAAATTTTTTGCAAGAATTAAATCTGCTAGTCTATAAAACACCTAGCTCCTTGGCACATAGGCTTGCAGACTCCCTAGTTTTTCACTACCCCTTACATTTGTTTGAATGCCAGGATGCCACTATGTTAGAGCACCTTGAGAACCATGCTACCATGTACTGCTTGCTTTCTTACAACAGTGTATCATCTGATTTCAGAGTTTTCTGTACTTTATGAACATTCCTTTAAAAATTAAGAGTAGAGACAAAATTTGGCAGAGAATAAAAATTTTCCCTAAAAAGTAGAGGTAGATAGCCCTGTAACAAATATCTAGCTGCCTAACTTCAGTATTGCTAAAAAGGTGATTTTGGTTATTTGTATTTCAGAAAGCTGTTAGTTGGATAGGCTAGAAATGTTGGTTTAAAAAAATACAGCACAAAAATTCTATAACTCAAAAATCATATTTTGAAGTAGCTTTACTTTAATAGATTTAAATTTTAATATCTGTCATTAAGGTTAAGCTTCTAAAAGATACTCTTGATGCCTGGAAGAAGGAGGTGGAAAAGAAGCCACCTACGATGTCAATAGATGATGCTTATGAAGTGCTTAATCTCCCTCAAGGACAGGGGCTGTGAGTTCTTTTCAGTATTTCAATAGTAAATGTCTGCCTTGTCTTAAAATATTAATATCAAAGACTAAATTAACATACCAACCATTTAACCATTTTTTGCCTATTATTCATTATATACACCTGTGAAAATATCCAGGTGGAACTATATCCATGTGATTTTTATTTATTGTAAATTCATTAGCAGAATTGTGTTCTCCTGTACCAGCAGTTTTCCTTGATGGCACATTCTTTCCTCTCTATTAATTGAACTAATGTGTGCAGAGTTCCTGGCACTGTATCTGACACACGGTGGTCCCCCACATACTCATCTTCCCCGTTCCTTTTGCAGTTTGTATTACGCATGAGGAAGAGGCTTGACAGCATTAAGTCTGTGATACTAAATGATAGATGTGTAGGAAAGAATGCAGATTATTTAATTAGTAAAATTTTATAGTAGATAGTTTTAAAAGATGTTGTAAGTATAGACTGAATTTGTGCCTTTTTTGTTAAGGCTGATGGTTGAAATAACTTAAGAGTTGTGCAGTTTTAAGTAACAGTTTGAAAAATTAGTTTTAAAAAATTACCTGTTTTATCAAACCCAAAATAGAGTTTTGTGATTTAAAGTGAATGATAACCTTGCATAAGGAATGTTTAGGTTTTATCTTTCATTTTTAAGGTAACATATACGAATAATCTTACTGGGTTTAATTTGATGCCTAATATATGATTGATTATATACAATGAATCTAAGGTTCTTAAAATATGATTTTAGATGATTATATAAATATTTTTTCTTGCCTTTACTGTGTATATAAAACAATTTTCCTATTTAATAGACATGATGAGAGCAAGATTAGAAAAGCTTACTTCAGACTTGCACAAAAATACCACCCTGATAAGAATCCAGAAGGGAGGGTAAGTGCTACTTTTGGAATTAAGGCTTTTAGGTTGACTTCCTTTTGTGCTATTCCTAGATCAGGCTGAGGAGATGTACTCACCCTCGGTGCC